TTGTCAGGCATATTTACAACAAAAATCAATTTATGACATATGAAAAGACTAATTACTTTCACCCCAAATACTAATGAGTTGTAATTTTACATTTTTTAAATTTGCCACTATCCTAGGTTTTGCCCATTTGTCAGTAAGAATTTTTACTCATTTAAAACACAATCAAATTTAATATGCTCCCTTATTCTTTTATATATTTTAATAAGTACAAGTCAGAATAAGCATGTTGTTTGAATTTTTACATAAATATTGTTACACTGAATGACAATGTAACACTATTTCAACCAAATTTTAACATTGTATTCTCCAAAAACTTATTTGAAACCTTAAAAGTAGACACTTTACTTACATTTAATGTGCTTTCTATGGACATAAAATCACGTTTGTAAATGTCTTTTGATGCGTACATCATAACGTCTTTGACCCATATACATTAGGTCAGGTTTTGCAATATTTTTAAACTTTACTCTTACCTTAAAGGGATAGTTCACCCAAAAATGAAAATTGTCATAATTTACTTACTCGTGTCATTCCAAACCAATAAAACATTTGTTCATCACTGAAACACAAATTGAAATATTTTAATCAAACCTGAGAGATTTTTGTTTATCCATTGAAAGTCCATTCATCCAAAACTTTGCGTTCATAAAGACATTGTAAAGTAATCCATATAAAATGAGCCGTGTAATCCAAGTCTTCTGAGTAGACATGATTGATTTATATTCTGAACAGATGTAAATTATGCTTACATATAAACATTGTGATCATTGCACATGGATGGAGCACATCAGATATGGTAAACGTAAGCTCAACTGTACTTGTGTGGCACGAGAACAAATTTGGTTAGTTCTTGCGAGTCAGGCAAGCATTTTTGAGTTTCTGTTTACCACATGAATGCAAGTATAATTTTTTTTTTTAATGATGTACGCTCACTCAGGCACTTTTCCCAGAAGAGATTTCAGGTTTGCTTTAAGGAGTCAATAAGATGGAATTTTGTGAATTAAATGTTTTCAATAATTAATGTTTTCTAGGGCTGTCAAACCGATCCAAATACAAATTAAAGTTTGTGTTTGCATGATACTCAAGTAGACCGATAACCGATATTTTGAACCGATATATATGTCTGGTGTAAAAATGAAAATGAATGTCAAAATTAAGAATAACAAGGGCTCTGACAAAAACTGCCTTCCCTGGTGTTGGTTGCACTTCTTACTCTTGTCTTCTTCCGTGCATCCATCTACAATAATGTAAGTATTTGGCTTCAATAATTTACATGTTAGAAATTTATGTGTGATAGCATAACCTCTCATAATTCTTCATTCATTCTTTTCTGATTACTAAATCATAACCTACAAGAGGTGACTATTCAATTCATCATCTAATGCACATCAATCTAACCTTTCATTGGAGAATAAGTATTTAAAATGGGGGAAAATATCATTATGACATAAATGTTTTTGTCTAATACACATTGGACACAATTAACGGCACCCTTTTATTCAATGCTTTTTAAACCTCCATTTGGCATAATAACAGCTCTGAGTGTCACCTGACAAGAGATCAGAGACAATTCCTTCATCCAGAATCTCTCCAGACCCTTCAGATTCCCAGCTCCATGATCCCTCCCAAACAACATGTGGTGTAGGTGCTGTTTGATTTTACTTTTAAGGTTTTCTGACCCTGAGACTCAACTATTTTCTGCAATGCAGCTGTGGTCCTTGGAGAGTCTTTAGCCACTCAAACTCTCCTCCTCACCGTGCATTAGGACGATATAGACACAC